TTACAGACATGGATATATGTAGGTAGGGACAGTCTAACGCCCTATTCACACGGGGCTTCAGCATCAACGCTTGACAGAGGGCGTGTCTGAAGTTGGAGCTGAAACGATCGTCATAGAAGCGTCAGCCAATGAAATTCAGTCAGCAATAGGCCACTGTCTGAGCTGGTGTATTTGCATACAGCGATCTGATTGGCTGACGCTTCCGTCGGCGCTTGAAAAGTTGAGCTAGTCCCAACTTCTGCAGCGAGGAACGCTTCTGAAGCGGCGCCGACGGATCCACAATGCAGTTCGGCAACGCCTGACGTCACCCATTCAAAGTGAATGGGAAGCGTTGACGCTGAAGCCCCGTGTGAATAGGGCGTAAGAGTGCTTTCACAGTAGCACTTTTGGTCCTCACCCGGGTTCGTTTGACGTCAAAGTATGGTAAGTTTAGCTAGTGTGAACATGTCTTCTGAACTCGGATGCGCACCCATGAACCATACCCGAGTCCGCCTGAGAGAAGTGGTCTGGGGTACGGTTCATGCGAACTCTGGTACGGTTCACTTCTGATGTGAATGCAATCGTACCAAATAACGGAAATGAACCACCAACTGTACAACAAACAATCATTTTCATAACTTTATTCGTGTGTGTGTCACGTTTCGTACCTTGGTGAAAGGCGGGACTGAGCCACGGTAAACGCAGTGATACACAGTGATGTTATTTTGCTTGCCTGTCTCCTCCAAAAACAGCTTCTGCAGACACTGCGTGATGTTCTGAATGTTTAGAATATTTTTGCGGCAGATAGACGCGAGTCGCTTTCTGTATGTCCAAAACTAAAAGCCGTCTTTCCATTTCGGCGCTTTGCTTTAGTGACTGTCACCTAGCAACAGCCGGAAACAAAACAGCAGCTCGATGACGGAAGCGTACCGGGGTTTAGAAGGAAAGAGACCGTGTGAGTACAAACCAAGCGAGGAGGTGGCAAGAAGGAACGATCAAATTTGGGTACAGTCCAGGCAAATGAACCAAGTGTGAAAGCACCCTAAAACAAAGCATGCAAATGAAGTGTTGTTGTCGGCAGGGTAAATTGCCTTTCCTAAGTATTACCCATTCACGATACATTTTAGCATGAAAACAGCGTGCAAATAATGTTCTGGAGACAGAACCCGTCCGACCGTGCTCATCTGGACCAGCAATTGTTAGCTACTAGCTAATTGGCATGTTTTGAATGTTTGTATGTAAAATCATGTTAGCACTGGAAGTTTTACATTCATGTTAACATTGTGCTAGCTCGTGGTAGCAGTGTTTTAAATCATGTTAAATCGCAACATTTTAACAATTTAAATAATGTTGCTAACATTGCTACATGCTAACAATGTATAGAATATACTAGAATTGTTAAAATGTTTTATGTAACTGTTAGAACATGTCAGAAATAATCACGCTAGTAATATTTAGCCATGCTAACATTATACATAACATGTTTAGCACATTGCTAGCATATTGCTAATGCTTTAATTGACATCATTTAACACCACAGTAGCATGTTTTATGTTGTTGTTAGGGTTATTTAATATTGTTAGCAAATTTTAACATGTTATCTATTTATTATCTACAGTATCATATTGCTAGCTTCGTTTATTATTGTTAGCAAGTTTTAACATGTTAGCTAGTTATGTGTTGTGATGTGGCATATTGTTAGCTTTAGTTAATATTTATATCAAGTTTAAACATGTTAGCTAGTTGCCATCTACTGTAATGTAGAATATTGCCAGCTTTGGTTGATATTTATATCAAGTTTAAACATGTTAGCTAGTTGCTATGTGCTGTGATGTAGAATATTGTTAGCTTTAGTTACTATTGCCAGCAAGTTTTAACATGTTAGCTAGTTATCTGCTGTGATGTAGCATATTGTTAGCTTTAGTTAATATTGTCAGCAAGCAAGTTTTAACATGTTGGCTAGTTGCATTCTATGTTGATGTGACATTGTTAGCTTTAGTACTATTGTTAGCCAGGTTTAAACATGTTAGCTAGTTGCTGTCTACTGTGATGTAGCATTAGCTTTGATTTATCAAGTTTAAACATGTTAGCTAGTTGCTATCAACTATGTTGTGACATATTGCTAGCTTTAGTACTATTGTTAGCAAGTTTAAACATGTTAGCTAGTTGCTAACTACTGTGATGTAGCATTAGCTTTAGTTAATTTTATCAAGTTTTAATGTTATTTAGTTGCTATCTACTATGATGTGACATTGCTAGCTTAACTGTTAGCAGGTTTTAACATGCTAGTTGTTTTCTACTATGATGTGACATTGTTAGCTTAACTGTTAGCAGGTTTTAACATGCTAGTTGTTTTCTACTATGATGTGACATTGCTAGCTTTAGTACTATTGTTAGCAAGTTTTACAATGTTAGCTAGTTGCTATTTACTATGTGACTATGTGTTGTTAGCAAGTTTTGAAATAACTAGTTATCTATGTGATATTGCTTGATTTACTGTTGTTAGCAAGTGACATGTTAACTAGCTGCTATCTACTATGATGTGACATTGCAAGCTTTAGTACTATTGTTAGCAAGTTTTACAATGTTAGCTAGTTGCTATTTACTATGTGACTATGTGTTGTTAGCAAGTTTTGAAATAACTAGTTATCTATGTGATATTGCTTGATTTACTGTTCTTAGCAAGTGACATGTTAACTAGCTGCTATCTACTATGATGTGACATTGCAAGCTTTAGTACTATTGTTAGCAGGTTTAAACATGTTAGCTAGTTGCTATCTGCTTTGCTGTAGCCTATTGTTAGCTTTAGTTTAAATGGAATAGAGTGAATTAAATTAATAACATGCATTAAATAAACGACACACATAGCAGTAGATGCTGCACAAGACTCTTGTTTCATTGTTAAAGTCTAGCTTCGTGCTCTTTACAGGGTGTATTTTTAGTACGCTAGCTAGGTCTATATTTGTGACTCAGCCAGTGGATTATGTCAGGACGGTCAGTGTTTTAGGCTCCTGCTGAATGAATCTTTGTGTCTCAATGGGCTTGGTTTGTCCCACTCCACCCTGTCGGGCCCCGGGCTCCACATCTGAAGCTAATGAGAGAGAAAGAGCGCAGCGGGAAAGACCTCATTCTCCGTCAGAGATGCTGTTACGCTGAATGTGGCTTTTGGCTTGCTCTCTGTAGACTATTCTGGTGTTCTGGAAAGCTAACAGGATTCAGTAGTGTATAATGGCAGGGTAATAATGGAGTGTTTAATTGAATGTGTGGCATTGCGCAGAGGGATTTCTCATTTCGAGGAAGTTGAAAACAGCAGCACTGCAGGCTGGTTTATGAACAACGAAGGAGGAGTTTTGATAAGTTTTGTTTGATTAAAGATTGTCCCACATGTTTGAACTCTTGATTCTGATTGGCTCACAGATATGCCCTGATTGTAAGTCTATATAATTAGCATTTAAATATGCTAAATGAATTAATCATCTGCATAAATATGCATCAAATATAATTTAGCATATTTATATACAGTATACAAATATGTTAATTAAATAATCTCCATAAATGTGCAGGTCCATATGTAAATATGAAATTAATAGGTCAACATATAAATATGTGCAATAAATTGATCATATGCATCAATGTCCACATGACGATATAGAAGTATGAAATGTGTTCAATTAGTTATTAATTTTTTTTTCTTTTCGGCTTAGTCCCTTTATTAATCTGGGGTCGCCACAGGAGAATGAACCACCAACTTATCTAGCATGTTTTACCCAGTGGATGCCCTTCCAGCTGCAACCCATTTCTGGGAAATGAAATATGAACATATAAAATGTTAAACAAAAAAAAGTGCGTGTGTGTGGTGTATATATATACATAAATACA